TTACATGACACTGTCGAGCAAAACATTGTTACCAGTGCAGCTAAAAGATCTTTCAAAAAACCTTGGATAACTGGTAGCATTTTAAAGTTAGTAAGAAGGAAGCGAGTGGTCTGGCGTAACTATAAAAGGTCTGGTTCAGAAGAGAGCTACAAAGCTTACAGAACTTTCTCAAACCAAGTTTCTACAGTCATCAAGAACGCTAAAATTGCATATGAGTCCCGAATCGCAAATTCTAAAAACACCAAGAGGCTGTTTAAGCATGTCCGCACAAAACTCTCAGAGCCTGTGGCGACTATTCAAATTAGGGATAATTCCGGCACTCTAACGCATGATAGTAGCGAAGTTGCTAATATATTGGCCGATACTTTTTCAATTGCTTTCACACGAGAGTCCTTGGATGCAATACCGAACGTATCTGGTCCTCCTAATCTCGCTTCACTTAGTGAGGTCGATTTTTCCGAGTGTGCGATATACGAAAAATTGAAAAAGTGACGTGTCAAAATCTCCTGGTCCTGATTTTTTTATCACCAAGGTTCTTAAGTGTTGTGCGGATGTGCTTAGCGAACCTATCGGGATATTAATGAGGCAGTCGTTACAGCTTCCCTGTCCCCGGACTGGCGTACAGCATTAATTAGTCCTATTTTTAAGAAACGAGATAAATTTAATGCCGCTAATTATATATGAGCAGCTGATCCAATTTTTAATAGATTATTCTTTAATACCAACACAGCAGCATGGTTTTTTACCTGGTGAGTCAATTCAGTCCAATCTTTTATGTTGTTTGTCAGATTGGACCAGAAAATCTGATTCTGGGAACACTAGATGTTTTGTATTTGGATTTCTCCAAAGCTTTTGATCGCGTCCCTAAACGTCGACTGTTGGTTAAACTCCAGCATCTTGCAATATCAGGTAAGCTTTGGCGTTGCATTGATTTTTTTCTCAGCAATCGTACATTTCGTGTTAAAGTGGGCAGTTCTTTCAGTCGACCAGTGGAAGTGTTGAGTGGGGTCCCGCAGGGTTCTGTCTTAGGTTCTTTGCTTTTTGTAACATATACAGCAGATCTAAAGAATACAATTAAGTCGCAGTTTGCTATGTATGCAGACGACATTAAGTTATACAACAATAGTTCTAATGCTGTGCTTCTCAAAGAGGATCTTCTTGCAGTATACAAATGGTCCACTGATTGGCTGCTTCCACTTAACATAGAGATAAATGTGAAGTTCTTTACATTGGTAAGAAGTACCCAAAGCGTTCATACTATATTGACGGTACTGAATTGACAAAATCTACTGTGGTTGTACAGTGGGACGAAATCAAAAATATGTGGCCAAAATTCTGAAACAGCCCAAATTTATTAAAAAACTTGATGATCTTTGTCAAATTGCATTCATTTTATTTTAAAACATGATTTGCTAAATTTGTGATCGAAAATTTACTGAAATATGGCAATAAAATAAATAATTAAAATACAAGATAAAAATTTTCATATTTAAAAATTGTTAGTGTTTAATAATTATTATTAATATAATAAGAATTAAGAAACAATCAAAACAAAAAAATAACCAGCCTGCTTAAAAGAAATATATGTATATGTTACAGTAAAAGCGTACATTTCAGCGAATGTATACACTTACTAGTCAATGTATACAATTATACATTGACGTACGGTTTTAGCCAAAGTATTCACTGCGCATGGAAATGGATACTTTTACTAGTAAATGTATACATTCACTAGACAGTGTATGCATTTACTGCAGTCTGTTAGTCAAAGCTTCAATAAAAAGAAATACTTAAATATCACATTTGAGGAGCTCAGAGAAGAAGTAGTACAAGTGACATTTTTATTAAAAATGAGTTAAGTGCTGAACAGTATATTCACTAATGGCTATGCTTTCTTTTTTTGGCAAAGTTTTTGCATTTTTCACTTCTGCCTTTAACTTTAGATATTTTTCTAAATTTTTTCAATGCGTTCATAAAACTTTGTTTTTATTGCAGTTTTATCCATTGTAGATAATATTAAACTAACACTTAATATGTACTACACACCACACAAAAACAATAAATCCCAAATACCGCTAAAACATCAGTAGGTACAATGTGAGGTTATGTCACCATGTATTATTTTGTGCATACTTTGACTAAGCGGAAACCGTTAATGTATACATTGACCATAGAAATAATATTATATGGAAGTAACTTAAATTAGAGAGAGACGCGTGTTGTCAACACAGTGGGAGTGAGATAGGGCTCTCTGGGTGGCAAAACATTGACGCGAAACTGCAGAGCACTGTGTTTCTGGAGGTTTTTTTCGTGCTGTCGCATGGTGTTTGAAGGTGTAATTTTGCAAATTTACGTTTTTTAGGCTCAAGTTACCTTATTTAAATGTCTACAGTCTTCTTAAGTTGTATTTTATCCGGCTATTTGTTAAACATCGTGAAATCGTGTTGTGCGTATAATTGCATAGAACGTGCAAAGAAAGTAATCCTGTTTCATTTCATCGGTAATAATCACATACACAGACGAAGCTAATCGTAAATAATTTAAAAACTTTGTTAGATTCCCTAAACATTCCGAGTTACGAAAAAACTGATTATTGCTACAAAAAGAGGGAATTTTATATCTATTGATTATTGTTTTAGTTATTTGTACGTGGATTTAGAAAATAGATTTTAGTAGAAAATTCTACACAATTTAATATGTTTAATTTAATTAGGGACCCTATCACTTTTATCGAAAGTTTAATTACTTTTATCCTAAAAATTTCAGAATTACCAATGAACATACACTACAAGATTAGTTAACTTTTAGAAGATTAATTTTTCTAACTGAATTCGTAATATATTGCAGATTCTGTATACATATCATTTTATTAAAAGACTATCTCCACCACTTAACATGATTTTTGTTGTTTCACATTACGCATTATTTTAATGTAAACTGTAAAAATATAGTTTTCATTAACAGACGTTTGTTATAATTGGTTGTTTGAACAAATTCGTAAGAAAACGTATTAATTCCCCTTCAAATGAAGCGTTTCTTGCCACCCAACACGTGATACGTGGTCAGCCGTCCTTTCCCCACTGATGCATAACCGCTCTAGCTATTTCTTTCTTATGTTGATTACACTCGCTCGCGTATGGAAACGTATACTAGGCTCCATCCACTCCTTTATTAGATCAATGACATTGACTAGTTAAAGCTTACACATCGTCCATTGTGAACACATTTACTGAGCAAATCACTCAATGCATAGGCTAGTCAGTGTATACATTGACGGAATGAACACTTTGACTGTAACATATACATAATTATTAAATTTCATCGTTTTCGAAACTGATTTCACTATTTGTGTCAGTGGATGAAATTGTCGTTTCTGTTTCCTCGGTATCACTTTCTTCTAATTCGTTTTTTAAAAGTTGATGAGCTTGTGGTAGCATTTTTTTTAATTTTCTTTCTGTGGACCTTCCTTAAAGAAGTTATTAAAAGATCAGATGACAGAAGAAGCCTATTTAAAAGATACTGATTGCTGTTTATTCTGGAAAATCTCTGATTTGTTTCTAGACTCCTGTGCCTCTTCTGTTAACTGCCCAATAGGAAGCAAAGTTGATGAAATAATAATTGTCCCATGAATTAGAACTTTATGTACCGTCATAGGCATGTTAAACCATCCATATTCGTCGACAAACATGAACATTGCAGCGTTACAAACATTTTCAAAATATATTTAATTATATGTCTCATTAGATGAAATCGTTACAAGCGACGAACAAGATATAAAATCAAACAAGAAAATGATATTCAAAAGGAAATAAGTTCTGCTGAAAAACTTCAGACATAAGTTTAGACAGCTTAGAATCTGAAACAGAGGAGTTAGATGAACCAACCTCATCTATAGTGGGTAGTCCACCGCGTCATGCTTATCATACAAGGAGCAAAGGACAAGCTCCCGAGTATATGAGGGTATTGTAAAAACATATATAAAGAAAGTTGTTAAGTTAAATATATCAAATATATTTTTGGCGGGTTTATAGCTGTCTATTTCATAATTAATAATTCTAATGGTTTATAAAATGTTTTTAATCCAAGTACAAAATAGTTACGTGGTCTATTTGTTTTTAGGAAACAACCAAAAAGGAAGTCGCGATGACTACTACAAAGAGGCTTAAAAAATATTATTAATGCATATAGCGGAGATTGATATACTTGCCCCAGCTGGCAGTTTTTTATATTAAATATTAGAGGACTCTCACTAACATTAGTTTATTAGAATCTTTATTTTATTATTTTAGGTACTAATACACATGGGGAATGAGTGTTATAGATCGACCTGTCGAGTGGTCAAGACTCAACTCTTGCTTCCCTAGCAGGGAGGAGATGTAACGGGCGATAAATTACTTATTTTTGGAGATTTCATTATGAATCAGAACAATCGTCATTGTCGTAAAAATCAAGGTTGTAATAATTGTGAATCTTGGATTTTATGATTTCACACCATGCTAATCAAGATTTATAATTTCACAGTTAACATCAACGTGATACCCGTAGCCTTGAAGTCGTACCTGAGGTTATTACCGATACCTCTTAGACGCTATGCGTAAGTTGCTGTCGTTAGAACGGATCTTGTAACTTGTTTTTTTCACACAAAAATAACGATTATGACACTTTAAAATATGTGGTTGAAAATTTGCACAGGTATTTTTGTCGTTATTGTAATCATTTTATTGTCATTACTTTGTAGGGTATCTTTGCTTTGTGCCATCAATAAAATGAACCCACAGAACCTGGCCACATTGCACCCATCGAATCCACAAACGACGTTTTGCCAGACATGACAAGTGATATTTTGTTAATTGAAATTATGATAATGTCGTACGAGAGTATTTTCAAGACTTAGTAGAAACCAGTATCAGTACTAATTTAAGTATGTGTAATCATGCCATTGTCATTTTCAGCACTTAGTTTTTTGAATGCACTCGCCTTTTATACTAGTGAAAATCTGATTGTTTTTCTTGTGATTTATTATTATTGCTGCAGTGTATCGGTACATTAAACTTTTTTAAAACAAAGTGTGTTTAATTGAGCACGAAGTTAAAGGGCCCGGAAACACCAAGATCGGAATTTCTGTCTGTCGTGTAAGTACACGTGTAAGGAATACCACTGGAGCAGATTACGTCAGAACTGTGGTCTCCTATAGGATCAGTACCGAAGTATTTGTAAGTTACAGGATACCTAACGTCATCACACAAATTTCTGTAATCTTCCGCCGAAATAAACAGAGCGGGGTTGTCCTCGGAAGCATTGCAGTAGCCCTTTCCATTAATAATTCCGGATCTGGCACCGGCACCGGGCGAAATGCAGTACCAATCGTTAATAATTGTGTTGATATTTGCGTAACAGAAGTCTCTCGGGGTTTCGAAAGACGATTTGCATAAACTACCAGAGCAGAAACCGTCCTCTTCGGAAATGGTACCGTCGCAATCGTAAAAGAACCCATCGCTGACAATAAATTGTTTATCTGGAAATATCTAATGTAAAAATCAAGAACCTGCGTATATTTTCAAGCGGACCTTTAAACGTGGTGATTGTGGTACCATTTTTTCCGAATTTTATCTTGAGTTTAGCTTCCATTTCACGCACTGGTCTCAAACTGGCATACACCTGCTGACCAATGGTACCTCCAAAATTGTCCAAATTGTCTAAATTGTGGAGACCACCAACTCTGTTACTAAACTGAGGGTGGACTTCCGGTGTGTTTTTGTTGAATTCGGTTTCGTAGAAGGTATGGCGTGGGTTGAAGGTACGGCGTGGGTAGAAGGTACGGTGTGAGTAGAAGCTAGGGTGTGGCTCGAAGGTAGGGCGTGGGTCGAAGGTAGGGCGTGAGTCGAAAGTAGGGTGTGGGTCGAAGGTAGGGCGTGGGTCGTAGGTAGGGCGTGGGTCGTAGGTAGGGCGTGGGTCGAAGGTAGGATGTGGGTCGAAGGTATGGGGTGGATTGTAATAGTTAGCGGAGTTGCTCACATATGGACTAATGCCTGCTGAATACTGCTGGACTCGTTGAGATACGGTCTTCCTCTGATTGTACAAACTAACATGTTGTTGTTTTTCCCAGTTTAAGTTTTGGGTCCAATCGTTCCAGTCATTGTTGCTGGCTACAAAAAGAGTTGTGTGTAGGTGATCTTGCCGTACTATGTAATCTTACCTCCAGCGCAAGTGAACTGTAAACAACAGATTGATAAAGTGAACTATGTTTTGTTGAATGTACTTACAGAATAGAAAACTGTTAAGAGAAGTACTCGTGAGAATTCCATTGTAGCAGTAGGAGTGGCACTGCAGAAGTACACCGTTCGAATGGTAATTGTGGCTTTTATATGCGCTGTATAAACGTAACAAAAATCGAAAATGGGCGATCGCAAATCTTTACGAGCTTTTGCCACGAAGGTCAGACGATTGCGTTAAAAATATCGAAATAATTTTTGTGCGATAAAATGTGTGCTGTACATTACGTCCTTATTCGTTGCATTTTGCTTTAAACATGTTTACTGTCTCGTTCCAGTTATCTTAAGACGTTTCACACTCACTTTTTACGAATGTGGGTTTTCAATATTTTCATATTTTCTTTTCACATTTTGGCAAATATAAAAATATCGGTTCTTGATAATGTCCATTGCGATAACCCAAACATCCCCATTTCAATTGACATGTAAAAAAAATTTTGAAAGCCCTCGAAAAATTTAAACATTAAAAAAATTTGGCCTTGACTGTGATCGTCTAACAAAATGGAACCTACGTTGTGTGTGTGTGTGTGTGTGTGTTTTTTTTTGTGGCGAAATGCGTTCATATGTAAGTGCTGGACTCCAAGATTGGAGAAGTACCGCTAAATATAACACAAAATATATGGAGGCCACAGAATTATTTAATCCTCCAATGACAAAAAAAAAAGCTGCGACTAAGTTGTGCCGGTTGAAGACACCGCTTAATGCTCAGCTACAAAAAAAAACTTGCCTAACAATGCAAATATTTGAATTTCACATATTTAATAAAATCACAGAAAAAATCTGCAGTAAAGTAACTGGATGCATTTATTATTTATTACGGGCGTGTGGCGGCAAATTTAAAATAGTCACAAGAGAACAAAATTTTAATGAAAACTTGTATGCAGCACATCGACAGCGGCATCAGAACGCTACAAGAGTGTGGTGGTCGGACTATTTCAATTTCCTTCCTAGAGCACAGCAGAATTACCCTTAGGGGGCGTTCGTTGTAGCTCAAACGGAGTTAGGGGCTCCTGGTCGTGCCTGTTCTCCTACCCCCGACGGTGATTCTATTGTATCGCAAGCACTGCCACCCAGCACCCCTCTATCACGAAGAAACGTGCCTAGGCGAACAAACCGTCACGTCATTCCGACCGCCCCTGATTTCTATCCTAGGCCTGCATCCCTTGTGCAGATGGCGCGACCACCAGCTCGACAAGAAACCGCGCACTCCGCTTCTGCCACGTGTTTCTGTGTTTTTTACCTCAATTCCATTTAGATGTTAAATTTTTGTTATTCTGATCTTAAACTACAATCGAACAAGTGTTAAAGTTTCAAAAGGCAATACACATTTAAATTCGCCATACACTCTCGTGAAATTTTAAACAGCAAAGAATTATCTGCGATTAAGATTGGACATCAGACAATTTTATTATGGAAGCATTAATCAACAAAATATTTACATGAAACAACTATCAAAAATTTATAAAACAAAAAAAAAAGGTGAAAAATTGCAAAACTAAAAAAGTTTAACATCTTTAACATCCATTCGAGTTATTAGTAAAATTTTAAAAGTGAAGTTATTCAGCTGCATCGTGCGCCATCGTTTTACATTCCCCCAAACAAACACATAAATAAAAAACATAACAAAACAGTCTGGAGGTCCAAAATGCCGTCCGACAAATACGTCGTTCTAAAACAATACGTCAAAAATATGCGATTTAGAAACGCGATTCATCCTGTGGCGTTTGTTCAGCGAAATTTTACAGTTTAAACATGTGCTCGGTTTGAAAGTACTCATTCAACATGGCCGCTGCCAAAAGAAAGAATTTACCTGATGTTAAATTATGCCACACTTTACAAACGCATGAAACAAAGAATTTACATTGTGTTAAATTATGCGACACTCTCCAAGTGATTGATTACTGAAAATAATTTGCTTTGAGAGGTTATATCGTGACTGTTACCAGCTCATCCCAAACAAACACATGATAAATAAACACAAAATGCATCAGGTCTTGCGAGAAAAGCTTCTGGGTGATGTAATTTTCAACGTTACGAGAAAAATATCTCGGTGATGTGATGATGATATGATGATAATAACAACCTAAGGGGAGAATTTTTTAAATCCCCGTGCCTACAGTGGAATAACGGTAAGTTAATTTTAACTGTCGTAAATGAACTATTAACAATCGTGTGTGAAAAATTAAGAATTGTTATAATGTAACACTTAAGTATAAGCATCCAGAAATCTTATTTATAACTTGGTAAACAAACGGTCAGTCCTGACTAAGTGAATTTCATGAAATCTCTTAGCAAATACTTTATCTGAACAAATCTCTGACGTTTAAACTTGTGTTAGAACCAGTTAACGATTAAAATCCTAACATGATCTGTGAGTTTACAAACAATAAAACAGATTTACACCACTCGTGGTTGGGTCCCGATTATTGGACCAAACCGCCAACGTCACGTCATTCCGACCGCCCCTGATTTCTATCCTAGGCCTGCATCCCTTGTGCAGATGGCGCGACCGCCAGCTCGACAGGAAACCGCGCACTCCGCTTCTGCCACGTGTTTCTGTCTTATTTACCTCAATTCCATTTAAATGTTCAATTTCCATGGCTGTGACATTAAACTACAATCGAACAAGTGTTAAAGTTTCTAAAAGCAATAAACATTTAAATTCGCCATACACTCTCGTGAAATTTTAAACAGCAAAGAATTCTTATTTGAGATTAAGATTGGACATCAGACAATTTTATGGTGGAAGCATTAATCAACAAAATATTTACATGAAACAAGAAAAAAACAATCTAGTGTGAAGTAAAACTTGTGCGATCTTGTGTAAAAAATTAAGAAGTGTTATAATGTAATACTTAGGTAAGTATAAGCATTCAGAAACCTTATTTATAACTTGGTAAACAAACGGTAAACAAGTACTTTATCTGCACAAATCTCTGACGGCTAAAGTTGTGTTAGAACAGGTTAACTATTAAAATCCTAACATGAACTGTGAATTTACAAACAATAAAACAAATTTACACCACGTGTTAGTATTGTTTAATTCTGCGACCTAATATCGAAATGTGATTTTTTTATTCGTACGGTGTGCAAAGTGTACGATGAAAATAAGTACACATCTCTAAAAATCAAAATCCATAAATTTTTTCATAGCATGGACAGTCTGACACCTCTTTTCTGAAACATAATTATGTAGTTTTTTTAAATTATGCTCTTGATTTTAGCTGAAGAAGCGAACGACGTCTGTAGAACTTCGGTCACTGTAACTGAAGGTTGTGTCACTAATAAATAAAAGCTAAAGTTTGAAATTTGTCGAAAATTTGATGTCATAACACATCTCCAATTGTTTCCAAAAGTTTTGAACGTAAAGTTTATTATTAGTTCTCACATACCTGCGGAAGGTTTATGTGTCACTGTAAACGGAATGGTGTGGTTGGCGGTGGTCATTGGTACTTCAGGTTTTGTCTTTAAATTAGGACAATTATTTATTTTAGCGCATAATTATAGTGTCTAACTTAAAAATTCACGAGACCCCCACACAAAATTTTATCCCTTATTTTACCTTCTTAGAGGCTGAATTTTCAAAAATCATTTCTTAATGGGTGCTTAAAACACAAAATTCATGTTTCTAGTTTCAGTAGTTTAGGATAATCCACCATTTTTTATTTGTTTAACTTTGGAAATTATCGGGATTAATGTTGGAAATAATGTCTGATTTTGAGTAATCCTTAGACTTAATGACAATAATAGATGCCTTTTTCAGCGTCTTAGCTTAAGAAGAGGAACAGGCAGTATCATTTGTCCCATTACAAACACTATCAAATTTTTCCATTAATTTAGATATATTTTCGTGGAGCATTAAGTTTTCATTCTTTAAGTCAGCGATTTGCTGACTAAGCATAGAGAAGTTTTCATTAATAACTTGGGATAAGCCAATTACGACATTTTTTAAAGCATCAGGAAGATTTTGCTGGATATATGGATTTGCTACATAACCCGCAGCCCCAAGTTTTAATCAGACCAGTATCTTTTAGAGAATTATAAGCGGATTTATTGAGATTGGCACATCCACTATCGTAGTTTCCACCACATTCCTTCCGACAGTTGATATATTCGTCACTTCTTACCTTATACAGATGGCCTTATTGCATTCCCTGCACTTTATGGCCATCTGTAGATAAATTTCGCACTGAACCCGGTGAACGAATACAGGAAGAACAAGAGAGAAAAAAAAAGACACAAGAAACTGTGTGATAGGATAAACCAGGTTATTCTAAATCCGTCTCTAAGTACGATTCTAGTTATAAGACGAATACCAAAATATGGACCAGAATGGCTATTTCAAAATGGAACAAACTCACCCGAAACAGGGCACTTCCTTGGAGACTTGACTCTTATAAAGAAACACAAAATTAAAAAAAAATCACCAGAGTAATCCACTGTACACCACCAGCTTGTCGGTCTCCTAACAAGATTAGATTACCCATTAGATCAAGTAATAGTTGAAAATGAAGAAGAAGAAGAAGAAGAAGAAGAATCTTCATGTTTAGTTAGAACATTAAGACATATTCACAACAATTGAACTCCAATTTTATATGATCTAGATAAATTAAAAGAACTACAAAGTGAAGATAAAGATATTCAAAAGTTAATTACTATTGAAGGATTTTATAAATCAAGAAAAGGACTTTTGGCGGGTTTATATATAACTGTCAATTTCATAATTAATAATTCTAATGGTTTATAAAATGTTTTTAATCCAAGTACAAAGTAGTTACGTGGTCTATCTGTTTTTAGGAAACAACCAAAAAGGAAGTCGCGATGACGACTACAAAGAGGCTTAAAAAATATTATTAATGCATATAGCGGAGATTGATATACTTGCCCCAGCTGGCAGTTTTTTATATTAAATATTAGAGGACTCTCACTAACATTAGTTTATTAGAATCTTTACTTTATTATTCTACTAATACACATTGGGAATGAGTGTTATATATCGACCTATCGAGTGGGCATGGTCAAGAGTCAACTCTTGAGCATGAGCAATGACGTTATCCGAAGGCCCACATGTCACCGAGCTTGAAGTCCGAAACAAAGAACTTAGCTAATGGACTATCAACTTGAGAATTTTGAGAATAGATTGAGGTTACAGCAAAATTATCTCAATCTGGACAGTTAACGAAAAGGAGTCCTTAGTAACACTACTAGACTATGCTGGCAAACATGAAAATTGGAATCCTCTTTCGATACGGTTGAATCTACATCATTGCCTATGTGAAGAAGCCCCGCTGTCCATGTTTCAAGACGGAAAGATGTAATATTATAGTAGTTAGGAGTTTTAGGTAAGGAAGTTGCCTGGTCAGAAATCAAATGTATGCTAATTAAAGCATAGCATTTGTTTCCCTAGCAGGGAGGAGATGTAATGGGCGATAAATTACTTTTGTCAGTATGAATCAGAACATTCGTCATTGTCGTAAAAATCAAGGTTGTAATTGTGAATCTTGGATTTTATGCTTTCAAACCACGCTAAGCAAGGTTTATAATTTCACAGTTAAATATTGGCGCCATTTGACTGGACATGATGCCTTTGTCCAGTTTTATGGTTTTATGGTTTAAATTTTAACAAGAAGGACATTTAACCACTAAAAATCTTCATATTAAAATTAATTAAGCCTAATTTGGTGGAAACACAATTACTTTTACGACATCTCAAATAGACTGGTAAACAGTAAACAACTTTGTAAAAATAACAACTCCTTTGGAGGGGTCTTTACTTATAAAAGACCAAAAGATCCATCCAGAGTCCTCTAACCAGTTGCCAGTTCAATGTGTTCAAGGGGTAAGTGTTGATATCTCCAAAAAGGTGCATGATTTCATAAAATGTTTAAATTTTTGTTTTTTGTTCATATTTTTAAAGTTCAGTTTAATTTTGGTGATAAATCGCCCTTTGTATTCTCGATTAAATAACGTTTTGAGTTTTATATTTTTAAAGATTAATTTGCGTTGAAATTATTGGTTAAACAGTTATGTTGTTTGATGAACGCTGACCACGCAACTTTTACTATAATGTACCTTACCAATTTTGAGTTATGTTACAAATTTTGAGTTTTGTAATATTTTTGATTTAAATTTTTGTACAAAAGTTTTGGTACAAATTATAATACATAAGCAAAAGCAGTTAATAACTAAGTGCCTGTGGTGGTTTCTTCCTTTGAAGTACTTGGAGCAGGAATGAGTTTGGAGATATGAAGTAAATTTGATTCTGATTTTCTGTGTGTGGTATCTATTTCGTATATAGAATTTGATATTTTCTTTAGGATTTTGTAAAGTCCAATTCTTAATACATCTAATTTTTTTCGGTTCAGTCGGTTACCATTTTCAACATATACTAGTTCTCCGAGCTTGAAGTTATAATCTATCCTATTTTTGTCATACAGTTTTTTATTGTAGTCATGATTTTTTTACTGTTTTCAAAGGCAATTGCTCTAGCATTCTCTAGATCATTACTATCTTTCTTTTTTTTCAATTCCTCTGGTAATACTGATGTACCTTTACCTAGTAATAAATATTTTGGACTAAACCCTGTTACTGTATGCTCGGTTCCATTGTATTTATTTACACAGTTATGTGCTATGTTTGTCCATGCACATTTGTTTTTTTTTCTTCATTTATTACACATCTAGTTTTATTTACTAAAGTTTGATTGAGTCTTTCATTCAAACCATTCAAGAATGGTGCGTTAGCTGCTGTAAAGATCATTGTGATATTTTTTCTTCTAGGAAATTTTTGAAATCTTTAGAATTTATGCTTGGGTATTGGTCAGTTAAAAGTATTTCGATGATATGGTTTCTTAGCACATTTTCTGTCAGTATAATGAAATCCCTCGCGCTTTGTGTCTTTGATGTTACTATGTATGCAAATCTAGTAAAATGATCTACTAGAAGGTGTAAGTATTTTTTAGTGGATCGTGAACCACAGAATCCACCGATTAAATGGATCTATGAAAACCACTTCAAACGGCTTTTTTGCGGGGCCGAGATGTGACATTAGACGAATTTTACTATGTCTTCTTATTTATTTTGTATGCAAATTTCGCAATGTTTGCAAACTTTTTCAATATTTTTTGGTAAATCTTCTGCCGTATTGTAAGGTAGTATTTTGCTTTGCATTTATTTTATGCCTATGTGGCAAAATTCCTTATGGATATTTTTTATAAGTTTTTTCAAAACTCTTCTGATAATACAATTTTCTTCTTCTTCTTCCTTTCTTTTCTATAATATAGATTATCTTCAAATATTAGATTATTTTTATTATTTGTGAAATTTTCATTACCCTCTTGATTTTGTATGATATCCTCTATTTTTATTAGATTGACAATTTTTAATTTATCTTCTTCGTCTTCTTGAGGCTCCAATACTGGGTTTCTGCTTAAGCAGTTTGCTTCTAAGTTATCTCTGCCTGGGCGGTATATTATTTCCATGTCATATTGTGATAAGTAGAAAGTGAAATCCCCTAATTCTTCGTCCGTTCTAGCTTTAATATTCATTTTTCTAGCGGCTTATGATCTGAAAACACTTTGAAGTGTTTTCCTATGAGCAAGTGTTGCCAATACTGTACTGCTTCTTTTATTGCTAGGCATTCTAAGTAAATAACTTTCTTTCTTTTCTGAGATACATTAAATTTGTTGAAGAAGTATGCCACTGGGTTTTCTATTTCCGAATTATTATTTAGTTATGGTTGTTTCATCACAGCTGCTGTACCTGGTAAGCGTGCATTTGTGTAAATGTGTATTGGTAATTCCGGGTCAAAAATATCTAAGACCGGTTGCTGGCAGAGGAAATTTTTCATATATTCAAAAGATTTTTAACATTCTGTGAATTCAAGTGAATTCTTGACCTTTTCTTGATAAATTATGTAGTGGTTCCAGAATAATAGAAAATTTCGGCACATATTCATTATAAAAATTTATCTTCCCCAAGAATTGTCGAACATTTTTCTGATTTCTTGGAACCGGAAAATTTCATATTGAAATCAAATTATCCTTTAGGAGAGAAATTGAATTGTATCTTTATTTTTTTTTATTTTTATTTTAATAATTACTTTCCAATAGGCCAATATTTACATATCGCAAATATTGTACGGAATCCAAGGCAAATGTACATTTAGAAAGTTTTAATAGGAAACTTTAATTCATTATTGCTTCTAGTACTTAATTGCGACAAATGATTAATGTGTTCTTCGAAGGTTTTTGAAAAAATCAGTATGTCGTGTATATAATTGACTGCAAAATCTGATAATTTATGTTTTCTTATTATGTTACTTAATATTCTTTGAAATATAGCTAGTGACGTTTTTAGTCCAAATGGTAGACAGGTCCATTGAATGTGATCTTCTTGGGTTACAAATCCAGTTTTTCGTCTGTCTTCTACCCTTAAAGGAATGAGCCAAAACTGAGTTTGTCAACTTTCGAAAAGTATCCGCAATTTCTTTTTTTTATTATTAGATCTTCGATTAATGGAAAATGTTGTGATTGGGGAATTATTATCTTATTCAGGTTTTTGAAATCTATATATAATCTTAATTTTTTGTTTTCATCTTTTTATAAGCTAGTGTTACTGGGGTCGCAAAAGGGCTATATGATTCTTCGATTAAATCTCTTTTGAGTAGTTTAGAAATTTGTTCCCCTATTTCCTTTTTGTCTTCAATTGTGCATCTATATGGTCTCTTACTGCAATATTTATCTACTATGAGATCTGTTCTGGCTTCGTAATCCTTTACTGTCCCTATATCGTATTTGTCTTTTGCAAATATATTTTTATATTTCTCTATAAGATTTTTTACAATTTTTTCTTCATGATGGTTCAAGTGATTTGTCAAGATTTCAAAGTTTTTTTGATATACATGTTCATTTAAGGTTATTTGACATCTTGCTTGTTTTTCTTCGAAATCATTAGTTTTCTGTTTTATTTCCAGTTTTTCATGTTGTAATAGTTTGAATTTTTTTTTATACAATCTAATTCAAGTAGAAAGTCATGTTTAAAATTTCCATTATTTATGATGAATACATCTACCTTTTCTTCTATATTTAGTATTTTTACTTTTAATGTTAACACTTCATCTCATTTATGTACACCATTAATTGTCTTCAAGTTAATCTTTTGCATCGTATTGTCCTTTCTTGGTTTCAAACGTATTAGTTTTGAATTTATCAATGAGACATTTGAGCGTGTGTCATAAATAGCAGATACTTCTAAGATGTCGTTTAGTTTTACCTTGAGACTAATTAATGGTGGAACTATTAGTTTTTTGGATCATTATTACTCACTTCTACTTCTAATATAGTATTGTTTACGTGTTTTGTTTTTCCTTCATCGTTTTTTCTATCTTTGAACCAGAATTCGGTTTCAGGATTAAATCTAACACCTTTTACAGATTTCACAAGGTATCTTTTCGCTTTTGTCTTTGTTATTGACTCTATATTTTTTGTTTCTAAATCTTTCTTAGAAGCTAAATGTTCCAATTTACCTATTTCATTGTATAGGTGTTCAGTTTTCTTTAGTTTCTCTCTTTCAATTCTATCAGCTATGAAATTTGGCAAGCCAACAGCGATTAAATCTATCAGTGTCCCATCATCAATGGACTTTCTTACTTCTAATAAAAGTTTTTCTTTTTTTAGCGCGTAATCAAGCATGGGGCCGGTTTAAATGACATTGCATATCTTATTGAAGACCAACTTTTACTAGAAAATGTATCATAAAAGTTTTTTTTCCAATTTTCCAATTCTCCATTAATAGTAAGTTTGAAGAGTGTATTGCTGTACCAATCGGTAACACCTTTGTCCATGAATGATTTTAAAATCTCGATTTTTTCTCATTTTCTATTATATTGAACCTTTCACATTCTTTTTCAAAACTACTTATCGATTGATTCGGGTTTGAATTTTTTCCATTAAATTTTTCAATGGTAATTCTTTTGCTATTTTGCCTATATTTATTCCTGTTGATTGATCGTTAGTTTTTTTAAGTAGTAATTCTAGTAACTGAATCAGTGGTTGTTCTGAAGTATTTTCCTTACCATTAGTATTATTTTGGGTTTCAATTTTTTCTTCTAAGTATTCATCATTAACTTGTAAATTGTTACCTAGTATCTTTGCATTCTGCCATCAATAAAATGAACCCACACAACCTGGCCATAGTGTTCACACCGACGCTCATTGGACCCATTGAATCCACATACGACGTATTCCCAGACATGACAAGTGATATTCTATTAATTGAAATTATGATAATATCGTGCGAAACTACACTGACCGGCAAAAAAAACCGGCCACCCTGAAAAATTTCGCAAAACCAAGCTTTAAAAATTATTAATTTAACTAGTGATCGTTGTTTTATTAAAGAACCACTCACTATTGACAATGAGGGATAAATCATCAAAAAAAAGAAACCAATTAAACGCAGAATTAAATTTATGTAAGAGTTAACGGAATTATTTTCGCGTAAAAACGTTTATTAATTGCCAAACTTATAATCAAATGATTTAAAACACTGTTTACAACAACAGCTTCCTTTATTGGTTTTTTAAAGAAAGTATCGTACGTGGTCTGTTTCTGTTATTTTGTTAAATTAAATTTAATTCTGCGTTTAATTGTCTTCTTTATTTTGCTAATTTGTACATCATGTGTCAATAGTGAATGATTCTTTAATAAAATAAAGATCACTAGTTAAATTAATAATTTTTAAAGTGGTTTTGCGAAATTTTTCAGGGCGGCCGGGTTTTTTTGCCGGTCAGTGTATTTTCAAGACTTAGTAGAAACCAGTATCAATACTAATTTATATATAAATATGTCATTGTCATTTTCAGCACTTAGTTTTCTGAATGCACTCGCCGTTTATACTAGTGAAAATGTGATTGTTTTTCTTGTGATACGACCAAAATGATACTAGTAGATAGTATTCTCTCACTGTAACCAACAAATTTTTTATTATTTTTACAGTGTAACGATACATTAAACTTTTTTATAACAAAGTGTGTGTGAAATTGGGAACTCTGGGATTTCGGTCTTCCGTGTAAGTGCACGTGTAAGGAGTACCACCGGAGCACCTTACGTCAGAACTGTGGTCTCCTATAGGATGAGTACCGAAGTATTTGTAAGTTACAGGATACCCAACGTTACCACATAAATTTCTGTAATCTTCCCTCGAAATCAACAGAGTGGGGTTGTTCTGGAAACCATTGCAGTACATGTTTCCATTAATAATTCCGGAACTGACACCGCCACCGGACGAAATGCAGTACCAATTGTTAATAATTGTGTTGATATTTGCGTAACAGAAGTCTTTCTTGCTTTCGAAAGACGATTTGCGTAAAGTACCAGAGCAGGAACCGTCCTCTTCGGAAATGGTACCTTCGCATTTGTAAAAGACCCCATCGCGCACAATCACTTGTTTATCTAGAAATATCTAATGTAAAAATTCAGAACCTGCGTATATTTTCAAGTAGACCTTTAAACGTGGCGACTGTGGTACCATCTTCTCCGAATTTTATCTTGAGTTTAGCTTGCATTTCACGCACTGGTCTCAAACCTTCATACACTTGCTGAGAAATGGTACTTCCTAAATTGTCCAAACTGCCTAAATTGCCGAAACCACCAGATTTCTTATTAAACTGAACGGTGGCTTGCGGTGTGTTTTCATATACTTCGTGTTCGTAAACGGTACCACGTGGGTTGGCATAGTTAGCGGAGTTGCTCACAGATGGATTAATACCTGCTAAATTCTGCTGGACTTGTTGAGATATGGTGCTCCCCAGATTGTCCAAACCACTTAAACTTTGCCTAACCCTTTGTTGTATATCCCGGTTTAAGTTTTGGGCCCAATCGTCCCAGTTATTATTTCTAGCTACAAAAAGAGTTGTATGTAGGTGACCTTGCCGCGCTATATATTCTTACCTCCAGTGCAAGTGAACTGTAAACAACAGATTGATAAAGTGAACTATGTTTTGTTGGATGTACTTACAGAATAAAAAACTGTTAAGAGAAGTACTCGTGAGAATTCCATTGTAACAGTAGGAGTGGCACTGCAAAAGTACACCGTTCCAATGGAATTGTGGCTTTTGTATGCGCTGTATATACGCAACAAAAATGGAAAATGAGCAATCGCAAATCTGCACGAGTTTTTACCACGAAGATCCGACGACTGCGTTAAAAATATCGAAATAATTTTTATGCGATAATACATATTCATTGAATAAAAAGGTCAATTTACCGGATTGAAGTAAATAGTAATTGTGAATTTTTGTTGCAGGTTATTTTTAGAATATTATTATAGAAGAATGAGGTAATATTGCACTATCGTCCGTGACTACTGCGTCGCATTTTTGACCTTGTCCATATATGCAACTATGATCACATATGCAACTATGACAATAATGAACCGGTTTCTTTTTAGTAAGTGCATCTACCTGGCACAATGTGTGCTGAACATTACGTCCTTATTCGTTGCATTTTTCTTTAAACATGTTCAGTCTCTCGTTACAGTTATTTTAAGTCGCTTCGCACTCACTTTTTACGAATGTGTGATTTCAATATTTTCATATCTTCTTTTCATAGGCCAACAAATTTTAGCAAATATAAAAATAACGGTTCTTGATAACCCCATTGCGATAACCCAAACATCGCGCCTTAAATTGACATGTGAAGAACCTACGTTGTGTGTTTTTTTTTTGTGGCGGAATGCGTTCAGATGCAAGTGCTGGACCCCAAGGTGGGAAAAGTGCCGCTAAATAAAACACAAAATACATATATGGAGGACACAATAGTATATTGTTTTATAAGGAGCAAAAATGAGACTTTTCGTGGCGAATCTGTACGTTTGACGGCAGAGCGCGCGAGGCCGGCAATTACAGATGAGCCACGAAAAGTCATTTTTCTCCGTATAAAACATGCTATTTTTTCTTCAAACGTGAAACTGGACCCAATTTATTGGACATGAAAATGTTGAAATCTAAGAAATTGTGACAAAAATCACTTAGAACTGATTCTTAAAGCACTAATACGATAACCAACTTGTATTCTAAGGTCTAAAATATTCAGACACTTGATCATAAATCATAATCACCAAACAGGTAGGTACCTACCCCTCACTTTTTCTGCCACTGATGACCGGCAGAAAAAATGCGAAAACAGCCTAGGCAGAAAAATTGGAGTCACTATACTCTATAACTGTGTGATTTTTTTCTTTCAGTATCGATATAGTTTTTCACTTTGATGTGAAAATCGGCAGTGGCAAATTTACTCACCGAGAGGCCTTTTCTTCTTGTTTAATATTCCAATTCCAGCTATTTAAAACAACCTTCACCTAAATATGCCACCTTTAAAATCTGTAGAGGACAAGTTCTAGCAATCAAAATACCTTTGATTCCATCACGTACTCCTAGAAATACTATCATTTTACAATATTTTAAATGTTGTTACTTCGGTGAAATTTTACAAAGGGCACTTCACCATTTCACACAAACTGTTTGTGCAAAACTCTTGTACATCACTACCTGATCACGTTCCTTACCTTCAAAAGTTGTGGAAATGCTTCTTTGTGTCACAAAAAAATATTTAGTGTTCGCCCCTTTCGCCCTATGGTTTGCACCCTATTAGTTGCGCCACATGTAGGCAACCAACTACACACATAGTTGAATTCGCACGAATTCCAATGACAATGATCCACGGAGCAAGAAGTGCCACGTTTAGGGGTATGTATGCAATGGGGCGCAGGGCGCGAAGCGCCCTGCCTTCACTAAATACCCGACGTTACATGTACGCGTGTTGTTGACTATAAAAAGTTAGGTTATGTTGGAAACGGCTTCCTATTGAAAAGTGGGAAATTTAACAATTTTTTTGTGGCAAAAGTAAGGATTTCTACAACATTTGAAGGTGAGGAACGTGTTCAGGGGGTGCTGTAGAAGAGTTGTGTGCAAACAATTTGTGCGAAATCGTGAAGTGCCCTTTGTAAAATTTTACCTTTTTATATTATTACAAGACTTCTTAATTGCGCATGATGATTGGTTAATTTAGGTAACAGTTATAATTCGAATCTTCGGCTCTGACCGACTGAATTGTGACAAATGACATATGACAGTTGTCTGTGATTGACATTGGCAGCACAAAACACTAGTAACAGTGAGAACATCAACATCAACACATAAGACGGCTAGGCTTAAATTTCATTGGTTGATTCAGCGGCAGCAAAAAATTTTTGCAGCCTAAGCAGAAATTTTTTTTCCTGTCAAGGCAGTGAAGTAGGACTTTGTATTTATCAATTGAGGTATGCAATGACCCGTATTTCTGACGTTTGAAGAAAAAATTATTTATTCCTCCACTGAAAAAACAAGCTGCAACAAAGTTGTGTCGCTACAAAAAAAAAAACTTGCCTAACTTGGAATTAAATCAAATTAAGCGTTGTCAATCAATGCAAATATTTGAATTTCACAAATTTAATAAAAACAAAGAAAAAATCTGAAGTAACTGGATGCAAATACACAAGTTATTACGGGCGTGTGGCGGCAAATTTAAAATTATGGCAGTCAACAAGAGAACAAAATTTTAATAAAAACTTCTATAGACAGCGACATCAAAACGCTACAAGAGTGTGGCGAACGAACTATTTCAATTTCCTTCTAGAGCACAGAAGAATTACCCATTAGGGGCGTTGTAGCTCAAGCGGAGTTTGGGGCTCCTGGTCGTGCCTGTTCTCCTACCCCCGTCGGTGATTCTATTGTATCGCAAGCCCTGCTGCCCAGCACCCCTCTATCACGAAGAAACGTGCCTAGAGGAACAAGCCGTTGTGGTCGCAAACTCGTGGTTGGGTCCCGACTATTGGGCCAAGCCGGCAGCGTCACGTCATTCCGACCGCCCCTGATTTCTATCCTAGGCTTGCATCCTTTGTGCAGAAGGCGCGACCGCCAGCTCGACAAGAAACCGCGCACTCCGCTTCTGCCACGTGTTTCCCTCAACTCCATTTAAATGTTCAATTTCCATGACTTTGACATTAAACTACAATCGAACAAGTGTTAAAGTTTCAAAAAGCAATAAACATTTAAATTCGCCATACACTCTCGTGAAATTTTAAAGAGCAAAGAATTCTTATCTGAGATTAAGATTGGACATCAGAGAATTTTCTGATGGAAGCATTAATCAACAAAATATTTACATGAAACAAGAAAAAAACAATCTAGTGTGAAGTAAAACTTGTGCAATCTTGTGTGAAGAATTAAGAAGTATTATAATGTAATACTTAAGTATAAGCATCCAGAAACCTTATTTATAACTTGGTAAACAAACCGTGAGTCCTGACCAAGTGAATTTCATGAAATCTCTTAGCAAGTACTTTATCTGAACAAATATCTGACGGTTAAACTTGTGTTAGAACCAGTTAACGATTAAAATCCTAACATGAATAGTGAATTTACAAACAATAAAACAAATTTACACCATGTGTTAGTATTGTTCGATTCTGCGACCTCGAAATCATGTAGTTGTAGCTCGTTACGTTGGTGATGTTTCTTGAAAAAGATATTACACAACATTTGTCTTGATTAAGAAAGAGATTTTTTTGGAACATCTGGCCTGTATAGTATCAATGTTATCTTCGAGTGTATTGCAGTCATTTTCATTCATCATTGGCATAGAGTAGGTAGTGCACATTGAGAGAGTCAATATATATATACTGAATGAATTGTGATCTATTCTGAAGATAAGACGACATGAGAGCTATGTATTTTTGAGATAAACCAATCGAGTTTATTTAGCAGTAACTGATGATCCACTCTATCAAGTGCTTTTGTCAGATCAATATACACAACATCAAGTTGCTGATGTTTGTCAAGATTATCACATAAAAACTGCGTTATCGATACCAGATTGCTAAGAGTAGATCTTCGAGCTATGAAACCATGCTGATTAATGGATATTTTATTAGAGATATGACGAGCAGTATGTTCAAATATGATAAATTTGAAAACCTTAGCTATATTGTTAATTAATGCAATTGATCTGCAATTTGTAATATCATTCCTATAAACACCGGACAGACCTTAAAGATTTTCCATTGTTCCCGAAAATGTGGAGAACTTAAAATTTTATTGAAGCTGATTTTGAACGGAAATGTAAACACTGATCTACAATCACAAAGCAAAAATTATGGATTGAGATCAGGACCTGCAGTATGACTTGGTTTTAACTTGAATAAGGCCTTTAATATTTCATCTTCAGAAACATGTTTTAAATGGAGAACATCAGTATTAACACTACGTTGCATACCACTAGTGATAGCAGTAGGTGTAGAAAAGTTGCCAGAAGAGTATGCAGCAGATTGATTAACAATGGTTTGTGGGCTAGAAAAAATTTTGTTCTCACAATTCATTACGGAAGGTAGCGCTGTCACGTTTTTCAGTGAATTAACTCTTGTCCTTAAAGCTGTGAATGAATCATAATATTCATAATCTTCTTTTTTACCTGATTTTTTATGCTTTGTCCATGCTATTATGTATCTGTTTAATTAAATTCATGACATACAGGTGCAACTAATCTAAAAATTCGGTACTATAACGGCTCACCACGTATCGTTCGTTTAAACTAATTAATTCACCCAATTACCAACATCAGTCTCTATTATTCTACCAAAATGTACGAGGGTTACGTTCTAAAGTCAATATGTGTTATAGAAATATTTCTGTCTGCAACTTCGATTTCATAGCCTTATCAGAAACCTGGTTATTTGACAGTATATCAAGCAATGAACTTTTCACACAAGATTATGTTGCCTTCCGTACAGATAGAAATTATAATGTGCTGAATTTGCACACTTGCGTACAAGTAAACCTTTCTTCAATTACTGATACACTGCCTACTATTGATATTATTTGTGTGAAAATTTCTTCGATTTGTAAAAGCTTCTTCTATGTAGTTGTAATCTATATTCCACCTTCCACTTCATATGAAGACTATGAACTGCTTTTAGATCTCTTAAGTAGTTTGGAAGAATTTCATAATAATAAGGTATTCATCATTGGAGATTTTAATATTCCACAATTTTCTGCAAATTCGAATGATCGGTTTTCATCACTTTTAAACAATTTTGCGAGCTTCCTAAACTTATCTCAATTTAGTCACATTCTTAACATCCTTAATCGTACTCTTGATCTTATTTTTAGTAATTCAACAGTTCTTGTTTGTAAATCATACAACCCTTTAGATGATGAAGATCGTTACCATCCAGCATTGGAAATTCAGTGTCAAATTGAGGTAAAACCAGTGAATAATTTCCAGATGAACCAGAACTCTAAACCGTTCAACTTTAAA